GGAACAGCGGGGGAGGGGGAGGTGGAGGAACTTGGCACCGCGGGGGAGGGGGAGGGGGAGGAACTTGGAACAGCGGGGGAGGTGGAGGAACTTGGAACAGCGGGCGAGGGGGAGGAACTTGGAACAGCGGGCGAGGGGGAGGAACTTGGCACAGCGGAGGAGGTGGAAGAATTGTGCGAGGAAGAGGCGTTCGCAGCTGGGACGGGCTGATCCTGCTGCACGGGCTGATCCTGCTGCAGATGGCGTCTTGCAGCTGCGCGGCAAGGGAGCGATTGGTCGATGGAAGAGTCGTGCTGCTGCAGACGGCGTTTTGCACCTGCTGCATTATTACCGCGATCAGGAGCGATCATGGCTGCTTTCGCTGCTTTTCCGCAGACAGAGGAGGGAGGAATCTCCGTACTCCGTCCTTCGCCATCCATCTCCGTTGCTGCCGGCGAAAGGTGGAGACCTTGCTGAACAAGTTCCAAGAGCCGAGAGTCAACGGAACCATGCCAAGTCACGTCCATCGCCGCCTGATTGGGAACGGAAGCGACCGGTCGCAACAATGGTGTACCGCGAGAAGGGGACCGCTGCGGTCGCAGTGATCTTTTCACGAAGCGAGCCACCGGTCGCCGGCCCTTCGAGTCGAAGAAGCGTAGCGGTCGTTGCCCCCTAGAGTCTGAGAAGAGCACCGGTCGTTGTCCCCTAGAGTCTGAGAAGCGCGCCGATTGCTGCGCCCCCCTGGACTCTGAGACGCTACTCCAACCCTGCACGTCATTGCCGCCCCGTAGAACCAAATTGCCGTCATCCCCAAGGCAACCACTGAGCACCACGAAGACACCCTGCTCCCTATCCTCCTCCTTCTCCTCCTCCTCCTCCTCCTCTTCCCCCTCCTCCTCCTCCTCCTCCTTCTCCTCCCCTTCCTGCTTTTTCGGGGCAATCAAGATGCCATTACTGTCCTTCTTGGTCTGCACTCCACGGTCGGTGAGATGAAAAACAGGAGCAATCGCCGACGGTAGCGCTTGCCAAACGCTCTCCCCGAGGCTGTTGAACAGCACAAGTCCCCCATCCTCTCGTAATTGGGCAATCATTCCCGTCATTACAATCTCTCCTCGATCATCCTTTGCCGTCCATATCTTATTCACAGCAGCAGTAGCAGCAGCAGCAGTGGCTAGAGAACTGCTTCCTCCCCCGTCGTCGTCGCCGCCGCCGCCGCCATAGCCATAGCCACGTACGCTATCCTTATCTGACACGTGGCGCTCGATGACAAAGGTCCCATCTTCACTGACTCGCAGGACGAACCTTCCGTTCGACGACAACCAGCCTTCGCCTCCTCGCCGGGCAACAGTCATGCCGACTCGCATGCACTGCGGCGGCCGCGATGTGGGAGGAGGAGGAGGAGGAGGAGGAGGAGGAGGAGGAGGAGGAGGAGGAAAGGGAGGCGTTCGAGATGCATATGCTACGCGTGGTGCAAAGAGGGCGCACCACAAGAAGGATGAAAGATACACAATCAGTATGGGAGAAACCAGGCGTAGAGAGAGAAAGGTAAGGGGTAGGTGCCGTGGACAAGATAGCCAGCAAGTCGAGCTGCGCACCTTCATGCTTCTCTTCCTGTTATCACTACCATGGGTATTATCTACCACGAGTGCTGCCGCAGCCATGGCCGCCATCATCATAATGAATGATACCGCCGACAATGGAAACCCGAAAATAACACTGAATAATCCACTAAATAATCAACGAAATTTGAAAGCTTTCTTAAAAGATACTCTTAACGAATATAATGAATAATAATAGCCTTAAATTCCTTATGGATCAGGGATCGATTCCCGACCGCCGCCAGATGTGAACAAGAGGTTACCTTGTAGCCAGGTGTCAGAAGAACAGCGATCCAGAAAAAGGACCAGACCGCAAGCGAGTCCGCTAGAGGGAGGACGGAGAGGGATAGAACGAAGAGAAGGGTAGAGAGAAGGGAGAGAGAGAGAGAGGGAGAGAAACAACAAAGAGAGGGAGAGAGAAAGAGAGAAGAGAGAGAAAGCCAGACAGGCACAGAGAAAGAGAGACAGACACAGACAGAGAGAGAGACACAGAGAGAGAGAGAGAGAGAGAGAGAGAGAGAGAGAGAGAGAGAGAGAGAGAGAGAGAGAGAGAGAGAGATTTGAGGATTGGGCAACCTGTGGACTGCTTCCGACGTTAACAGGTGCAAAAGCACCTACTGAGATACTACTCGTATCGTATCTGAGTCGCAGCGATGGAGTGAAGTCTCTCTCACTGTTTCCTCAACAGAGTCGCTGACTCGGAGATCGATAATCGGTTCATCAGTCGTCGGACCCATTCAAACGGAGAGCATCAAGAACCCCCCGACCGCAGACAAAATGGAGTGCAGTCTTTCTCAAACCGCCTCCACGCCATAAGTAGATGAACGAAACTGCCACCATTTATAGCGAGCCCCAATACATGATTTTTCCATCGCAAGCGACCAACAAAGAGCGTGACCTACCGAACACGCTACAGACACAGCCAGCCAGCCAGCCAGACAGACAGACTGACAGACTGACTACCTGACTGCCGGACAGACAGGCAGGCAGGGAGGAGCGGGGCTCGGTTTATAATGAGGACCCATAAATTCGCCACGGCAAGACTCTCTCTCTCTCTCTCTCTCTCTCTCTCTCTCTCTCTCTCTCTCACACACACACGCACACACACACACACACACACACACACACACACACACGTTTGTGTGTGAATGCCCTCGAGCGTGTACGGGAGAATGAGAGAGAGATTGACAAACAAAGAGAGAAGAACTTCGGTGGCGGCAATGGGCTGGGGAGAGAGAGAGAGAGAGAGAGAGAGAGAGACAGAGAGAGAGAGAGACAGAGAGAGAGAGAGAGAGGGAGAGAGAGAGAGAGAGTTGGCTGCCAGAAAGGGACCGACCGCTATCGTCCTTCCCAGCAGCTCTTGACGATCATGGCCACGATGGCTGGCTTGTTCTTGCGCCCTACCTCTTTGTCATTCTTTTCCAAATGCATCATCGCGCGGAACGATGTCGTACCCTTCGCCGAACCCTTCGCCGACAACGAGTCCTGTCCTCCATCTTTGCTCCCCCTCTCTTGCTCTCTCTCTCGTAATGGGCCCTTTCACCCCCTTCCCTTCTTCTCTCTCGCAATGGCCCGTTTCTCCACTCTCCTTTCCACCATACCAAAACGGTAAAACTCGAACGGTGCACCTAAATGGACCATGAACGAAGCAAGAAACAGCGAAGAACAGGATGTCATCACAGCAGCCAAGGGCAACCGGGGCCAAGGTCCCCCTTGCGCAAATTAGGACATTTCGGCCGTCGATCTTTGCTATCTATCTACGGTCAGTATCTCTTAGTTCGTGCAAGTGGGACCTAGCCCCCGGGATCGTCGTCTGTCTGCTGGTGTTGTTTGTCGGTACCCTTTCTCAGGACTTACTCAGGGCATACTCCATCAAGAATTGTTTTACTGATTAAAAAAAAAAAAAAAAAAGAATCGTTTGACCTGGGGCCTGGTCCCACTCGCAGCTGTTTAGTTTAGAAATGTAATACAGTGGGACACGAGTGACACACTTTGGCCATTGGATGTAACAGATCGGACGCCCAGTCATGGTCATGGGCGTTTTAGAAGAATGCAATAAAATGTTAAAGAAAATTCTAAGAAAGGCAACAAAAAGAAAAGAATAGTCTCTTAACACTGGCAATGCCCACACAATCGTTTTCCCGCCCAACGGCCCGTAGTCTTTGATTCTAGCTCGGTGAGCACCGAGCTAGAAACAAGGACTGCCTCCTGTTTGTGAAGAAAGCTGTGGTTGGTCTGTCAGTCGTCAGATTCAACTGTCAGGTCTCTCTTTACTTTTTCTCTCACAATGCAAATTTGATATAGCACATCTTTGTCAGGCAGCCCACTAATCTAACGGCTGCACAAATTTTAGCTTTTCTTTTCTTTGCTGTCCTGGCTATCACACAACTCCAAAACTAAACTAAACCTCCCTCTAGTGGGACCAGGCCCCTGATACATGGACGTAATGCCTCTCAGATGTATGCAGGGCCGCTGTAAAATGCAGTCAGACACATTTAAAATAGAGTTAGTCGGAGTTCGCGCTCAGACTCGTGGACTTTTTTTTTTCTTTTTTTTTATTCTTCTCTCATCTATCTCATCTTTTTTTTTTTTTTTTTTTTTTTTATATGGGGTGATCACAACTGTCTATATTCTTCTCTCAACTTCTGTTTTTGTTTTCCTTCTACTACCTACCTGCAAGCATCGTTTTCCTCTCTCTGTGAAGGGGGGATTTCATGTTGCCCCTTGCCCCTAATGGTTAGGGTATAGGGTTGGGGCCGCCAGTGGGGGTCTGGCTAACACAAAGACCGAGACCTGCCAGTAGCTGTGCCTCCCTTTCTCATCGTCCCCCACCCTTCATCGAGTAGCAGCGGAGGCTATGGCCAACACTCTCCCACACACCACACACAACCCACTCGCGCTCACACTCACACCCGTGTTGGTCATAGACCCCGCTAATACCGATCAGGGGTATCCAGAGGACTATCACAGTCCGTTGGCACTTGCCAGTACTCATCGCTTTATTCTTTTTAAACCACCAGTACTTGCTAAAGTTGTGCCCTTTAGTTAATAACAAGACATAGTCTTAGGAAACGTACGGGCCACTATAGGAGCGCCCAAATTCATCCGACTAGAAACATTTCTACTCTATTTTTTTCCATGGCCTATAGCTCTCATCTATCTCATCTTCTTGCCAGTACTCATTTATCTTTTTTTTTTTTTTTTAAAGGCTAATTCTTTGAAGCCCAACCAATTCAATTACCTGTCAAGGCCTTTTGTTATTGTCATTATAGTATTACGGGGAACCCCGTAGCAGCCACATCCGTGCTCAAGCCTCCAACGAGGGAACATGCGGGAGCTGCACCCACCAGCAGGTGCGATACCTGCTACAGCACGTGGGCGATACCGGCCAGGGGTCAGCCGGTAGCATCAGGACCGAGCTTCTTCGATGGGCCAGTCACTGTGCCTCCCCTCCGGTCCCCTCCCCCTATGAACATCAGCAGTCTCCGCTCAATGCCACTCGGGGGGACCAACGGCATATCTCTAGGTGGCGGGCGCCAAGCTTGCCCAGGAAGGTGCATGAGGCCAATGGGGATTGAACCCAAGACCTCCTGAATGCCACTTGCATGCCTTACCAACTGAGCCATCTATCTCATCCTCTCGCTAGTCCATGTTTATTTAGTACAGTGGAACACCAACCAACACGGGGGCTAGGTCCCACTTGCACGAATTAAGAGATACTGACCGTAGATAGCAAAGATCAACGGCCGAAATCTCCTAATTTGTGCAAGTGGGACCTTGCCCCGGGTTAGGTTGGCACCACAGCGGTGGTGCACGAGCAAGGCTTTACAAGTCCCTCATCACGGTGACGAGGCGTGGGGGCAGGCACTCCCGAACCCCCCCCCCGGCCCTACCCGTAGGGAAATCGGCGGTGCTACCGGTAGCGCCGAGCAATGGCCGGTCGCTACACCTCCCCCTACCCCCCCCCCTAGCCCCCTGGCGATGTCTAATGGCCAATAAATATTGTCTCTGCATAGCAACCAACAACATCAGCCAAGGTCCTGCCAATGCTGGCTTGGGGGGCCAACGTGTTATCTCTACCTTGTAGAACACCAAGCTTGCCGCATGGGGATTGAACCCACGACCTCGTGCATGCAACTTCCGTGCCTTACCCACTGAGCTATAGGCCCGCAGGCAGGCCTCGGATCGTGCACTTTTTCTTTAGTTTTTTTTTTTTTTTTCTCTCGTGGACTCTTTGATCCCTCGGCTTTATTCCCACGTAGTGCTCCACTGGATGCCAGCGCATCCGATGACTAACCGGTTCAACGCGCCAAAAGGGCCCAATAATGAAAACAAAGGGGAAAAAGAAGAGACAGAGGCCCCAAGAAGGGGAAAGTCGGCAAGTCTTTGAAAAAACAAAAACACAAAAAAAAGGTCGGCAAGTCGGGCGGCCGCCACATGCCAGCGGCACCGCAACAAGGGTGAGGTTCCACTGCAACAGCCGGAGGGCCTCGCCACACCACTCTCGAAATGTGAAAAAGACAAAAATGTGGCGCGCGCATCTGGTCATGTTCTAGCGGGAAGATCATTCTCATTTTGCACATTTCGAGAGTGGTGTGGCGATGCCCTGAAGGTTCGAGCGTGAAGGATCGAACCAGGGCGTCACCGATAGCCAATAAGGTCGAGATTCCATTGGCAAAGAGGAGTGCAGTAAGTGTCTGAATGTGGAAGTGTTTGTGGACAGGTGCGAAAAATTGTGATTGATCTAGTTTTCTGCACCTCTTCGTGGAAACACGTCCAGATTCAGACACTTCTTCCAATCCTCTTTGCCAGTGGGATCTGGCCCTAAGTCAAAAGACACGAAAGCCAGAGAACATAACGCAGCTTTTCCTTCGGGACATCCGTTAAAATTGGAACAATACAGAGAAGATTAGCATGGCCCCTACGCAAGGATGACCGCATAACGCAGCTTCGTTGGTACAGCCCACCGTGCATTATCGAAAATATAGACCCGTATCAGGAAAAAAAAAGAAAAACAAAAATATGTACGCCCAACCGATTCAATTAGCTGTGGATTATGGACAGGATGGCCTTTCAGGCCTTTTTTCATTTTCATTATATAATATTACGAGGAACCCCCATAGCAGCCACATCGGTGCTCAAGCCTTCAACGAGGGAACATGTGGGAGCTGCACCCACCAGCAGGTGATGTCAAAAATTAAACCACCAGTGCCAAGCCTGAAATCCCCCTGCACACCGGGAAAAAAGAACCGGCGCCGGCCTCATTTTGGCTGGTGCAGCCAGCCATTTCAGTCAGGTAGCACCGAACCCGCGCTGGCCTCCCACATTACCTGGCGCATCATGGCAATACTGACATACCGCCAGGGCGCGGGCTCGCAGCCCGTAGTGTGACTGAAAAAACGAACGTGGATTAGGTGACAGAAAAAGACACAAGGTACAAGGCCCCGGGTCTAGAAGTCTTTCCGCGGGAAATTCGAAGCAAAAAAAAAAAAAAAAAAAAGTATTCTGTTTGGTGCCATTGAAGAGGTAGGCGGTTCAAACCTCACGGCTGCCCACAATATGTTTGGTGCCAACCGACTGAGGGCACGCTCACACTGCGGAACCAAAA